TACCCCCACTTCCATTACCAAACATAGGTGAAACTTATCTTACTTTGTAATAATCTGACATTAATCACACACATATCAAAGACATCTAAAATTTTTCTTTTATTGCAAAAATATTGGGTTATTTTTGGTTTCTCTTTTCCAGGTATACCAGGTAAGAGTTTGTTTTTTAAGCATCACCCTATCTTCTCCAACTCACTTCCTTCTTTGATTAATCTTCACTTAATGGCACCCAGTTTCAAGAAACATAATTTCATTTCTCTCAGTCCTCCAGCCAATCTAGTTTAATCTATTCCCTTTTCAGGGAATTCTTTTCTCACATTTCTACTCCTTTTTTTATTTGAAAGACCTTTTTCTAGGTGCAACTTAAAAGCCACTATATATTTATCACTTCTTTGTAGAATGTTAATATTGTATCACCTTTACTGCCTGCTTGCATTATATTCTAGATTACCTTGTTTATCTATTTTATCAGTTTACATGTTAAAAATCTTTCCTAGTTCTGGATTTCTCTTCAAGAAACAATTACATTTTTTCTTCTTCATTGAGGAACAGTTTGTCCCATGATGAATTACAGTCACTTTTGCAGATTAGATACTTATGGTATACAATCCAGTTTTCCTTGTTTTTCATGAATTCTTCCACCCTTTTTCATTTCTTGTCATCATTGAGTAGTCTTGTACCATTTGAGTTGAAGTTTGATGCCTTGTAAATGACTTTTCTCTTTGATCATAAAGCTTTGAAACTTGGTGACTGAATTTTTGGGTGAACAGTATTTAGGGTTCCTTTATGTCAGCATGCTGTGAATTGTTAATTTTCACTGAAATCTTTCCAGTAAATTTTCTTAAGTGATTTCTTGAAATACAGTATTCAGACCATTTATTTTTTGACATTTTTCTATACAGCAATTCTCAGTCTAACTGAGATCTTTCCTCCAGTTTTATTACTTTGGTTTGCAGGCATTAGAGGTCTTCTCTAGTTTTTCTGTTTTTTTAAATTTTTATTGGTTTTTTTCTGTTTTTCCTCTACACATTTTTTGTTCTTCCTGAACCAGGCTACTCTTTAGAGAATCCATTGCTTCCCTAGGATTTTTCACTGCCTTTTCGACTTTGTCATTTCTTATTTTCTTGAATTTCTATTTCAATGACTTTATTTCTAATATAAGAAGTGCAATACTTTCTATTATACCTTATTGTAATCTTAAACCATTTTCTGTAGGTTCTTTGGCACGTCTTTTTTTTCTCTAGAATTATACTTGTTTTCATTTTTTTCACTTTTCATCTCATAATATTTACAAATTATTTTGGAGGTATTTTTTCTTGCTCATTTCTTTAGTTTTTCTGTTAGTCTTCTTGGAATTTCCCTCCCTTTTTATTCGGTGCATTCACCGTTATTTTGAAGTGTAGCACATAGGAGCGAAGGTTAGAAACAATTTCTCTTCCATTTTGTCCAAAGTCATCTCAGAAAGTTTTACTAAAGGAATATACTTAAGAGTATAGACAGGCTGGGACTCATTTTAAAACAACAACAACAAGAACACAAAATAGCAAAATCTTTGAAGAGCAGAGTTTCTCTAAGATTTGCCCTGTCTTGGAGGGAGAGTAGAAGCAACAAAAGTATTAGTTATTTTTGAGTGTTTCACTTACCATAAACATGCTCACTTTTAAAAATGGAAACAGAATTGAAATGAAAGTCAACGAAAATGAGACCAACATGGTAAATTTGTTCCAACTAACAGTGAAAATAACCATGGGATTAATTAATATGGTATGCAAAAACAAGGTCAAATTTCAGTGGCCACATGTTAAATCATGTCTCAAATGTCATTTTTTGCTGTCACCATCAATCAACATATGCTCATAATACAGATTAGTTATACCATTGCCCTGCTTGTTAAATTTCAGTGTGAAATATGTAAATCCAAAGTCGACCTTTGTGTGGAAGTTAAATGTAACATAATATCATTGTCATTCATTTCTGCTTTAAAAAAATACAACTTTTAAAAACTTGAAATAACTTAAAAACAGTTATAAGTATTCATTTAAAATATTCAGCCATGAAATTCAAAACTTATCTTAATTTTTTAGTCTCTCATTTTAAAAATAATATCCCTTCATGATGGACCATTGTATAACTGGTTTGAAGAGATAATACACTGGAGCAGCTATAACTAGTACAAAGACAATGGAGATAGTTTAAGGAGCAAAAATAGGTAAAAAGCTAAAATTCAGAAAGTAGAGTGTATGTACTTATCACTGGTATTTACAAGTCAGTTTTTGATGGAAAGACTGCTTTTTGCTTTGTATGAATGCTTTAACTACAGATAACATGAAGTTTAATAATTAAAACAGCACCTTGAAAATGTGTAGCAACAGTTTATTAGCAAGACTGAAAATCTTTCCAGAAAAAAATAGATACTATTAATAAATTTCAAATAATAATAATAATAATAATAAATGTGATATGAATCAACTTTTAAAGCCATGATTTTGACATCCAAAGGTTTGCTTATGTGATATAAAGTTGCTTAGAGAATTGCTAAGTATCAAAAGTCTTCTTCAGTAGGAAACACAGATGTGGGCCATTATTGATAAGAACAAAACAGCCATGAAATTAAAAGACGCTTGTTCCTGAGAAAGAAAGTTATGGCAAATCTGGAGAGTATCCTAAAAAGCAGACATCATCTTGCCGACAGAAGTCCATATAATCAATGGTTTTTCCATTAGCAATATATAGCAGTGAGAATTGGAATACAAGAAAAGCTGAGCACTGCTAAATCAACTCTCTTGAATTGTGCTGGAGAAGACTTTTGAGAGACCCTTTTTGAGAGACCCAAGGAGATCAAATCAGTCAGTACTTAAAAAAAATTAATTCAGGCTTTTCACTGGGAGGTCAAATACTGAAGCTGAAGTTTAAATACTTTGGCCACATAATAAGAAGTCAGGACTCATTGGAAAAACCCTGATATTGGAAAAGATTGAAGGTAAAAGGAAAAGGGTATGGCAGAGGATGAGATGGATGGTGTCATGGAAACAATGAACATGAACTTGAACAGACTTTGGAAGATAGTGGAGGAGAGAAGAGCCTGGATTGCTCTGGTCTGTGGGGTCATGAAAAGTCAGACATGACTAAACTACTGAATAATAATGACAACAAAAAACAGTGCTTGGGGAATTGTATATAAAGTAGCTTTGAATGACTCCACTTACACATGATAAGTGGGAAAGAGCTTAAGACCATTCAAAAACAAGTCTTCCTATTTTGTTTTGTTGTTAAATGAAGTAATAGTTGTAGGTAAACATGCTCATTTGATTTCAAATATATAATATACTATTGAAATTGATAGGAAGAAAGATTTCTTACGTTGAGTTAATGCCACATCAAAAGAACTTTTCAATGAAAATGATATAATATGGAAGAGTTGTGCTGGACACTATTGGTGGACTTCAGTCAGTCTCAGAGTGAAACTCAGGTACATGACTACTAGTTAAAAATGCATCCTCTCATGCAACTTGGGCACATTGCATTCTTTATTTGCATCAAGAAATGTAAGAAATGTGTTTTGTTGTTCAATCATTCTTCAGTCACGCCCAACTCTTCATGACCCCATTTGGAATTTTCTTGGCAAAGATAACTGGAATGGTTTGCCATTTCCTTCTCCAGCTCATTTTACAGATGAGCAACTTAGGCACACCAGGTTAAGTGACTTGCCCAGGGTAACACAGCTTGTAAGTGTCTTATATATAGCATTAGGCATATATACTAAATGGGATGATGAAATCTGTCTGGATTTTAATGTTAACTTATTTTATTGCCAGTAAGAATTGTTTTATTGTTGTTCCATCATTTCAGTTGTGTCCACCTCTTCGTGACCCCATTTGGAGTTTTCTTGGCAGAGATTCTGGAGTGATTTTTCCATTTCCTTCTCCAGCTCATTTTACAGATCACGAAACTGAGGCAAATGGGATTAAGTGACTTGCCCAGGGTCACACAGCTAGTAAATATCTGAGGCCAGATTTGAACCCAGGAAAATGAGTCTTCCCAACTCTAGGGGTGGCATTCTGTCCTCTGCACCACTTAGCTGCCCAGTATAAGAAATATGAGTGAACAACTATATACAGTTTTTCAAGTTGTTGCAAGAGTAACCAACTTTATAAACACCTTTTTAAAAGAAAACGTTGCAAAATCATGCGATAATATTGTGGGTTCTAACAGGACACTTTTTAATTACAAAACACACACAAAAAAATGGACAGTTTGGTGATAATATAGATAAAGCAAATTTACTTTATAACTATTTTCTCCTGATACTTGTGTGTGTATGTGTGTGTATTAAGAGGACAGTAATAGCACTTAATCTCACAGGGTTGTTGTGAGGATCAAATAAGATAACATATGGAAAGTGCTTTGCAAACGTTAAAGTGCTATGTGAGTGGTAGCTGTTATTTGTAACATCTTCATGAAAAATGGGATTTTTTCTGTGATTAATACAAAGAAAAATATTGACCTCAATTAATGGTTAGACAGTAATTATGGATAATAATACTGAAAAACATGCCCATCTATCATTAATAAAATATTGTTTTATAAGTTATAAATTTAAGTTATCCAGGATTTTATTAGTTAATAAATATTTACATGGTAGGTTATTTTTCTTATATATTTAAGACTTATATTTTATCTAGAAGAGTAATAAATTCTTAATTTTGCATGAATAAAAGTAAGTTCACGTTATTTGCATAGTTTTATGAAGCGTGAAGTTACTTTGTAATTTTTTTGTAAAGAAAAAAGGAGAGGTTATCAATACTGGTAAATATCGAGTTTGAAAATAATTGAATTTATAGTATCTTGGCAGGCTACACAAGGTATTTTATTTTCTCAGAAATATAATTTTTAGCAAAAATGCATATCTTTTTAAAGTATCAAATAGTGAATTTTGTGAAACTTCGTACATTTCATGTCTTCTAGCTAACAATACAATTAATGGGAATAATGTATTTCAGAAACTTTGCAGTGATGCTCAGGTAAAAGTCTTTGGAAAATGCTGCCAACTGAAACCTGGAGGAGACAGTTCTTCTTCTTTGGATAGTTCTATTAATTCTTCAGATACAAAAGAGCAATGTCCCAAATACCAGGTGAGAACACTCCGACCTACCCTCATTTTACTCCATAGTCATGTTATTGGGTGACCAGGATATTTAGTTCTTTAAAACATCTTTTAATTATTGAAGTGTGGTTTCAAAACTCCTAGGTGAGGGAACTTCCTGTACCAATGCAGGTTAGCACCTTCTCTGCAACTTAGAGTCTTAGAGAGTTTCCTAGAGCACTGAAAAATTAAAAGACTTGAATATGTCACATAGCCATTATGTTTCAAAGGCAGGATTTGAACCTAGGCCTTCCTGGCTACAAGGCCAGCATTCAGTCCTCTGTTCCACACTGCCACTATTGAAGTGTGATGATGTATAAAATAATAACATGCTGCAGTTGTATCAGTCAAATAAAAAAACTCTTAACTTCTTAATATAAATGCAAAAAGACAAAATGCATTTCTGTACAAGAAAAACAGATTGTAATTCATTTTAAAATATGCTGGCTTTTTATAATATACTTCTAGTTCTATATGTATGACTGCTTATAAACTTATCTGTGAGCCTGTTAACATTATACATCGTAATCGAGCATTGACTTCAAGCAAAGCAAAAGTCATCTAATATGAATATATTTTTGACATCTCTGCTTTAATGGGAAGCAAGTGTTTAATTTAAAAATACTAAATTATAATCTTGGGGTTTTTCTGGGTTTTATAATTGAGACATTAAAATTGGATTGGTCTTCTGCAGGATTTTTCTTGACTCATAGAATCATAATGGATTCCTAATATTTCTATGCTATATATTTGCCAAAATGGACAAATTAGATCGAATTCTTATTTCTTTCACCAACTAAAATGCTAGGTATATTTTGAGCATGATCAGGAATATACAGAGAAGATTTCCATGAGGTCCCAAAATATTTTTCTTTTAGATCACTCTTATTAGCCACATGAAAGTTTAATAAATACTTCTTAGTGCTGTTGATTGGACATTTCACTGAGAGTTTTTCCCTTGTCAGTCATCTTGTTATACTGCTTTTGTCTGCTCCAAAACTTTCATCTTGTTCACACAGGACTCTTGGCTAATTAGGCAAAGTTTTAAAAGTTAGTCTTAATACCTCAAACACTCCGAGTTTTAAAATTATGATTTCACCTTTAAACAGATCCTGAGATGGGCTAAATTATTTCCTCTCATAACTGACTGGATATCTTTTCAACTCATCTTTTGGATGCCTAAAAGTGACCTTGAATATCTGTCTTGCCTAATAGTAGAATAAAAATATAGCAATGGGCAGGAAAACCCAAATTTACCACACCTTATCTAGCTTGAGCCATTGTTGGCCATTTTCCTACAAACTGAACCTCACATTTTTAGTCATCTAATTACCAAATGTCCAGCCAGATGCCTCACTAACTATCTACAACCACAGTTCCAGCCTCTAGCAGCTATTAGGTTGACTACCCATTTCCATAAACCTGGCCTTCTTTAGCTCCTTTTCTAGTTGCCTACTATAACAGCTGCTGGACTGATTGGCTATCACTACAGCTTGGTGATTTGGGGACAACCAACACCTCACCATTGGAACTACAAAATCTGGTGACCATCAAACTGATTAGTCACCATCATAGATCCAAAATCTAACTGCTTCAGGACCAACCACCCACTCCCAGAGCTCTAGCCTAAAATTTGTATAGCTCTAGGCTTCTGCAGCTATTGAGAGAGCCAACTACCCTACTAATTCTGGCTACTTGAAATTATTGGGTAACCAGGCCAGCTGTCATTATCCATGACTTCAATTTCTAGTGCCCATTCTAGAAACTAGAGCTGACTAAGGACCTCGCCATATTTCTCATCCAGAGTATGAAAGCTTCAGAGTTACAGTTATGACTCAGAGTTCTTGATCTTCAGAGGCCTATACCAATGCAGCCCTAACTCATGTCGAAGACATGCCCCTTCTACCTCTTTTAAATGCAGATAAGTAAATCAAAGAAAAAATGTGCCAGAATTAAACATGTTCATGTATATATTTATGTATAACTATAACATAAAATATCCAAGCAGTACAATTTCTAAAAAACAAAACAAAACAAAAAAACACAAAGTGAAATAATCACTAGACAGGATAGAAACCATAACAAAGGTCAGAAGCCAGAATACGAAGGAATAAGGAGTGAGAGGCTAAGAAGTAGAGTGTATTGATAGTTTTCTTTTCCCCCAGATGTTTGTCTGAAAAAAAGAAGGAAATAAAAAGGACAATAGCTTGAAGGGGATGGTAAGATCTAGTGAATTCTCTTTTAGGAAGGGAGAGACGTGGGTGTGTATGTCTAGGCTACAGGGAAGGAGCCAGTATGTGAAGAGAGATTGAAGATATGAGAGAGTGGGGATGATTAAGGGATTAAGGTAAAATTCCTATCTGTAACAAAAATGGAATCAAGTCTCAAGGAATCATGGGTTAGTAGTTTAAAAAACAAATTTAATTTCATTAATTATTTTAATAACAAAACTCTTAAAGGTAGTTTTACCTATTGAAAGGAGAGTTTTAGAATAGCAAGGCAGATTTGGGAAATGAACAACTCACAGACAGTGGCTGAGAACAGGATACATGGTTTAAAGAAGAGGAATGATGAACTCTTTAACAGGAGTGGAATTGCCGGTAAAGAAACAATAAAAACTGCTTCTAGGAGTCTTGCTAATCTGATCAGAAAAACTTTAAACTGAAAAAAGACTGAGGGAAGAATGACACTATAACGTACACAACTGTGCAGACATTTTGTTGGCACATCCTTTCTTCCATAAGCATAAAAACTTAGAAATTTGTAACTTGACTTAATGAACATTTCATCCTTCAAAATATGAGGAAATGGGAAACCACTGTTTGTTTTCACAGAAAATAAAAACTATGAAAAGGACTCGCTTTTGAATGTCCCCCAGAAAATTTGTTTGTTATATGACAGGAAATAAGATTTGGACCCACATCTCAAAGTATACCCTATAATTAATTCCCACTGGATCATAGACCTGAACATAAAAAGGAAGTATACAAAAGATTAAATAAAATTAAATATTTGTCTCAATTGTGGAAGAAAAGTTTTTTTAAACATACAGAAGCAATTAGTAGAGACAAGAGTGATTATATAATGACTTTTAAAACTTCTATATACTAGAACAGTATTAAAATAAAGACAAAACAGATTGGAAAAAATACAATAAATATGGCAGGTAAAAATTTGATGCTTGGGGCAGCAAGGAGCTACAGTGGATAGAACACTGGCTCTGTTGTCAGGAGGACCAAAGTTCAAATGTGATCTCAGACACTTACTAGCTGTGTGACCCTGGGCAAGTCACTTAACTCTAATTGCCTAAAAAACTCGATGCTTAACATTTATAAGAAACTGTATTAAAAATATCCACAGCTAATATGTAATACCCAATAGACAAATGGCTAAAGGATTTGAGCAGTTTACAGAAAAAAAGAAACTTGCTTTTTTAACAGTCTCTTAAAAATATTCAGCCCTATTATGATCATGTGAAGTACTCCTTCATATTCATCAAATTCGAAAAAATAAAATGAACAAGTCCTAGTGAGATTGTGGCAAAGCAGGTATATTCATTCATTACTGATAGAATCATAAATTGTTGGAATCTTCTAGGAAAGTAATTTGGATGTATTCTTTTTTTTTTAGTTCCATATATTCTTTTTTTTTTAGTTCCCATAATCATATCCTTTAATTCAGTAATGCCACTGTTGATAAAAAATACCCTGAGAGTCTAAGCTATCTTTTAAAGAGATTTATGGTAGTGTTATTTGTAAGTTCATAAAAGCTAGGAACAACTTAAAAAAAATAAAGAACAGTAGGCAAATTATTAAATACAGTGTGGTATACTAGTGTATTGTAGTACTGTCATCAATTAAGATAGATAAGTACAAATAATATAAAGAAAGCTGGAAATGAAACAATGCAAAGTGGAGGAAGTAAACAGAGCTTGAAAAAGAGTACACATTGATCATGATTGTGAAATACCATATTAAAACTCTTTGCAAATTTTAAAGTACTATACAAATGAATGTAAATATTCATTTTTATTATTTATAATATTTTATTATTACCATATAAACCAGTAAGTCCATAGGAACAAATGGATAAAGAAGAAATCTAATGAGGACTCAGTTGTAGTGAATGATAAGTAATTATTGTCAATTTGTATATTGAAATTCTTTTTTCAAACTGAAATAGTGCAAAGCAAGTTCATTTGTTTTTACTGATATTTAATGCTAAGTGTATAGCAAAGCATCAAAAGGAGGAAGGTAATTTATTTCCTTCTCAAACTATATTAAAAGGATGTTAGTTGAAGCTTGGAAACATAGAAACTTGGTATAGGTACAGATAGGGGGAGGCGGAAGATACAGATTTGGTGTTAGACCAGTTAATTAGAACATGACCCTTTCAAGAGGTGCAAGTGCCTTTCTCAACTACTTCTCATAAACCTAGACTATCCCGATTTACATAGACTTTTTGGTTCTTTGGAAGGTAGGGGTCCAAAATGGTTTCCTGATTCTGCAAATATGGTTTGTAAACATGGTTAATTAGTATGAGTATATCTTGATTAGCTGGCTTCTTCAGCTCTAAATTTGAGTTTCTTCAGTATCTACATCATAACAAATTCCTGAAAACCATCCAACTCTTGATTATCATCTATGCTAACATGATTAGTTAGACTTTGCAAAATTCCCCCAACATGTCACTCTAAATAATACTTTTGATCTCTACTCCTTCGATTCTTTTTTTACTGGAGCTACTAGCAAGTAACCCAGTGATCAATTAATTTCATTTATCTCTCACAGAATTTAAATATACAGATTTGTTCACTTCATCACTGAATAATCAAGAGTTGATAGCAGCACTAATAATCACCTCTGAATTCATCACAAAGTTAAAAGGGATAGTTCAACCCATATTTGAGTAAACATTCCTCCTACAACATCCTGAACAAGTGATCATTGAGCTTTTTGCTTAAAGACCTCCTATGAGGGGAACCAACCACGTCCCAAAGCATCCCACTTCACTTTTAGGTAGTTCTAATTTTAAGTTTTTCCCGACGTTAAACCTATATGTGCCTCTTAGTTCTAAATTATAGACTATAAACAAGCTTCTACCTTGAGGAGTTGGAGTGGGGCTGTCAGCATGGCAGTTGTCTACATATGGCAGCCATGTGATAGGAAGTGCAGTGTTCCTCTGCTTCCCCTCTCCAACCTCTTCCATGGAAGAGGCTTGAATAGTTCTGACAGGGCAGCTGGAAAGAAAAGAGAATGACCAAGGGTGGGTCATTCCCTTTAAACATCCACTGATTCAGCAGCTTGTCCTGTTCAACATCCAGTAAGGTGATTGCTTTGTCATCCCCAAAGTTCCAGAATCCTTTAGCACTGTAGCCAGCCCAAAGCAGGGAGGGCAACTTTGTACATGCTCAGGGCCCCTATTACACTCATGTAAGTATTTTAGTAGTCACACAATACTCTAAATATTACCTTTTTTGCCTTTTTAGGGTTCTCGTTGTTCTTCTGATGCCAATATGCTTGGAGAGATGATGTTTGGTTCAGTAGCCATGAGTTATAAGGGTTCTACCCTAAAAATTCATCAAATTCGGTAAGATTACATCAAATTTTACTTTTCTTTAGGGTAAAATAAATAATTTATATGACTAGTAGTGATAGACTGCTTCAGGTACATTGGAACTTAATGCTGTTTAAATGCTAGGTTGTTATTAATCTTCAGAAATCCATGTGACTTACAGATCTTTGTGTAGCTTTATATGGGGTTGATTCTTTGCTCTCAATGGCATTTTCAATGTAGCACAAACTGTGGTCCTACCAATCTGGGAAGTTCAAGTTCAAGTTCAAGTATGATCCCAGTTAACAGCCTGTGCTTGCCATCTTAAGTCCAGCTTTACGTGAGTTCAAAGAGGTTCAGCAGCAGTACGTTGGCCACTAGGTGATAAATTATTTGGGCAAGCAACTCATGTAACCATTAAACAAAAGGGCTCTCTACCTATTGTAGCCACTTCTACAATGGTAGAGTGAAGAAATTAGACAGAGATTACTAAGTGTTACACAGTTTTAAAAATATCTATAAACAATGTATATTCTAGTATTGTTATTTTAAATGTGGATTTTTGTCCAACAATTTGATATATTATTGGAGCAGGGGGCTAGATCGGTATTTAACTGCCAACACTCATTTTCTTGTCCTCATCACCTCTCACCCAGAATTTCGTAATAGCCTACTAATATGTGCCCCTGCCTCTCATCTTTCTTCCTACAATCTGTTCTTCACTCAGCTGCCAAAATAATTTTTCTTAAGCATAAAACCTTAGGTGACTTCCTGTTAACTCTAGGATAAGATACAGACTCCTTGGATTGCCTTTTAAGGCAAACCATAACCTAACTTCAATCTATCTTTCTAGATTTATTTCATTTTACTCCTACTAGCTGTGCCTTAAACTCTACATTCCTCTGTGCTTTTAAACAATAAACTCCTTATGTGTGGAATACACTCTCTCCTCTACCTTTATGAACCTGTGTTTTCCTTCAAAATTTGGTTTAAGTTGCTATTTTCTTCACTGAAATCCTCTTCTTATCTCAAACCCAACTAATACTCCTGAAGCACTTCATCTGAAATGCTCTTCTGCCCCATTACATCCTGCTGTATATTATCCTTATTTGTAAATGTCTTATGACTTCACCTCAGTAGAATGTAACATACTGGTTTTCTTTTTGATTCCCAGGTTCCATCACAATCCCTTGCACATAGTTAATGCTTAGTAAATGCTTTTTATTGTTGTTGTTGTTGGTGATGATGACTGATATCACATGGAGTATTAAAATAATCGTTTTAAAGCTTAATTTTATATAGATACTTAAGGTTTACAGAAAGCTTTACATACATGATTTCATTTGATCCCCAAGCTTCTTTATAGAGACTGTTTAGAAGAAGGCCTCTAATACTCCAAGGAATTACCCTATGTAGATTTTATTGATGGACTTGGACAAAAATTAAACAGATTGAGTGGATCCAGTAGTGATTTGTACTGGTGGAGGGAGTAATCTTACACCATTGGTAACATCACTTCCATCAATATGGAGTAAGCATAACCAAATGTCATAAAATGTTATAGTTTGCGTTTAATACTTAACATTCTCCTTTTTCCTCATAGTTCTCCTCCACAGCTTATGCTTAGCAAAGTTTTTACTGCACGTACTGGAAGTAGCATCTATGGAAGTCTAAACACGTGAGTATCTATATATTCAGTAAGAACCCAAAATGAACTTAAGAAAGGAACAGAGATACCTACATAATTAAGAATTAGTATTAACCATATTATTCAGGATCGGCAGTGTTGAGTCAAATTTCTTTGTTCTCTGCCTGTACATACTAGAAGATAATTAAGGTAAGTAAGACCAGATTTTCCCTAGTTGAGTCTTGTTGGGGCAAAAGATGTTAGTTATGTCCTCTTGACTTAGTGAAAGACAAATCTGGAAGTATACAAGACTTACACCATTAAAGTATATATGTATACTGCTGTGTATGTGCCACATGTGCGAACATAATCAGATCAGGGCTAAACACAAGATACTAGGACCATGGAGTTGAATGGAAGTTTAAGGACATCCAGTATGATACCTTTGTTTGATAAATGAAGAAGATGAGTTCCAGAGGTACAGTGACTTTGCCCTGTGTCATACAGGTGGTAAGTATCAGGGCTCAGACTCAAATTTAGATTTCTAAATCATATATCCAGTGGTCATCCACTAAATTCATGCTTCTTACTCCCATGTACCAGGGTCCTTTTTTGTGTTTTGCTTTGCCATATTGCTCTTTCCAGTGATGGCACCTATAGGTGTTCCTCTTCTGCCCTTAAGCTTCCTGTAGTATTGATTCTCACTACCCCAGTGTTGAGGCCTTTAATGCTAGCTTAAAAAACCTTATTTTCATGTTTTTGTGTTCCTTAGCCCGAGTTCAAGGTAGTTATGTAGCTATATCTTTTCTTTTAGGTGAGAAAGAAAAGACAAAAGAGCCCTTTAATATTTATTTCTCTGAACTAAAGAACAAAAGTTTTTTATACCATAAAGTTTTTAAAATAAAAAGCAATTGTTCAGTTCCTTCTGTCTATAATTATTTAGTAATACAAAGTGGAAATGAATGAGCTAAAATTGAATGACCTTAGGTCTGATTGGTGTTGAAAGTTTTTGGTCCAACATTTCTTTTCTAAAAACTCCCTTCAAAAGCCTTAGAAGATAGTCTAAGGAATAGGAAGTTAGCTCAAATAAAAACTCTAACCATGTGAAGTGTTTTTTGGCCAATATCCCAATGATTTAGCCCCTAAAATCATTATAAATACATTTTGAGTTTTTTTTTTTTTAAGATAGAAATATTAGATTTTGAAGACTGGGATTTTAGACAAATTGCCTACTTTTACTTATTGCCTAATGGTTAGAAAGCATTTCAAAATTATTTTTTGTTGTGATTGTTACTTGGATTTATAAGGATGTTGAATCTTTTTCCCCAAGTTGAAGAGTAATGTATCTATAATGTACTTTGAAATTGTTCTTAAGAAAATAGAGTTGATCAACTTATTTCCCTTTCTTCAGGCTACAAGACAGTCTTGAATTCATTAATCAGGACAATAATACATTAAAGACAGATAACAATACGATTATAAATGGGCTTCTTGGAAACATAGGTAACTAATTTCTTTGTTTATTACCTTACTTGTAAATTCTTAAATGTACATTTTGACAAAAGTAGTTCTGAAATAATTCAGAATCATAGCAATTGGGTCATAAGGTAGAATGCTTCCAAATGTTAAAAATAGAAAAGACTTTTTAGTTTAACAGTATGCAGCCTTGTTTTCCTTTCTTCCAATGTTGGAAAATTTAAATACTTAATTGATCTTTTTTCTTGAGTATTTAAATGGTATATGACATTATATGTTTGTTAAAATGTATTTCCCTATAGGCGTACAGGTAAGATATCTTAAAGGTCTTATAGCTAACTTTGTCATGGTTTCTAAAACAGATAACTGCCCTTTACTCATTTCAGCTAAAAGAGATTAAATTATTGAAAGACACAAAAATAATTGCCCCATCAGCCAGGCTAACAATAATAACTACCATTTATATAACGCTTTAAGGTTTGCGAAGTGCTTTACAAATATCTCTTTATCCTCACAAAGCCTCTTGGTAAATAAGTGCTATTATCCTCATTTTACAGATGATGAAACTGAGGCTTAGAAGAAGTTAAGTGACTTGCCCAGGGTCAAACAGCTTATAAATGTTTGAGGCTGAATTTGAACTCAGATTTTCCTGACTTCATTTCTGCACCCTATCTACTACATGTTTTCATGTTAATTGAAATAGATGGTTTGGTGTACTAAAAAAGTGAAATTTAGCATTCAAATGTGAAAAATCCATTTTCATGTTCCTGAAAAACCTTTCTTAATAATACCAGTACACTTGGTATTTGTTACCCTGTTTGTTTTTTTCTTAAATGTTCTGAGTAATAAGAGCTTAATTTCCTTTATGGGACATTTGATTTAACTTGAAAAGAATTTGGATTATGCTGCTGCTCATTGCAGTTTTGGTACTTTTAAGAGCTATGTTGCTGCAAGGAATATAAAACCATGAGAATATGAACACATGCTTCTCTGATTCTCCATTTGATAATATTTCATTTGAGAAATTAAATTGTACTAAAAAAATAGAATTTTATATTTTGCCTAATTTTCCTAAGTGTAACAGTATATTTTTTCCTTGATTCCCTAGCTTTTCTACATATTATTTACTTAATATATCTTTATAAAAATTAGAATTCTTTCTTTTAATTTAGCAGCTATTTTAGGATGAAACAGTTTTTACTTTTGAACTTAATGGTTTTTATTGAGTAAAATAAATATTAATAAGAATGATAGCTTATATGTATATTTAGAGTTTCCAAAGTGCTTTGCATATATTATCTCATTTAATCTTCATAATAACTCCTTGAGGTAGGTGATATTAATATTCCTATTCTACAGATGAGAAAACTGAGTCTTAGAAGAGGTTATAGAACTTGTCCAGGGTCATACAGCTAGTAAGTCTCTGAGAGGAGGATTTTGAAACTAGGTCTTCTGATTTCTAGAGAATTTTATACCTTTGAAAACTGAAGGATTCATTAACATCTGTCTGTACATTTTACTTTGTACAGAGTTCTTATTGAAGTAAAAGTTCCATTTAAACATTTTAGCACTACATTCAACAACAGTGTTTTTCCAGAAAAGGAATATATCCCTTCCTTTACTATAGTTAGATTCTTGTTAAAAGTGTGTCATTGAAATATTTTGCTAGAAGCATAAAAATAACATTTCAGAGGAAGAGCAATTTTTCTAACCATTACAGTGTGATCTTGGACTTCTTTAACAACATATTTCTAATATCCATCTGGAAATGAGGGAAATAGTTCTTCCATGTAAGGAAAAGTCAAAGTTCTTTAACAAGTTAAAACAACAACAACAACAACAACAATAACAACACACCCTGTATAACATGTCATGATTTTTAATCAAGAATTTCTGAGGATTTTTCCTTATTCTTTCTAATCTTCTTTGAGTACACCAAAATGAGAGCTTATTAAATTGCTCCATAACAATGTTGAAGAAAGTTTTGTTAAATCCCAAATCTGTCTTTGGAGTGATTTTAAAGATATTTAAATTAGGGGCAGCTAACTGGTAGCCCAGGGACTTGTTAGCTTGCAAGCTGACTTTTATTCAATTACTACAGAAATTTTTTGTCCTGCAATTCAAAAACTTCCTGCCATCATCCCAACCAAGAAATCTTTTACTCTCTTAGAGTTTACCGTGGCTCTACTATGCCCTTGGATAGCTAGGAATCTAGCTTCATGAAATGTATTTGGAACCCTGGCCTTTACAAACTCCATTTCCCTGACCTGAATTTTATTTCTATTTCTTCTTTTGTTTCTAGTTGTAACTTGGTCTCGTTATAACTTAGGTTGGATAAATCCATTTCTGCTTTGTTTTAAAGTTTGTGTTTGTTAATAATTCTTTTCTATATTTGTTATGTAATACATTCTGTTTTCTTGGGCATCATTGTGATGCTTTCTTCTTTTTCTAAAAGTAGAGTACCTCTACAAATTCTCTACTGAGGCTATGAAATTTTTACTATTTAAACAAATTATAATCAACCTGAAAGGCATCTGAATTTAACAAGGATACTTACCACAGCTTGAACTTCAGTTCTTGTTTATGTAAAATTTGTTTTCCTCCGTATCTGTTAGTCTGCTCCTATGTTGCTTTATCTTCCTTTTGAAACCAGGTGCTGTTCAGCTTTACTAACTTCATTCTTTCATATGTATTTTACATTTTGCCATGTAGGTCTTTCACAGCTTTGCAGCCCTAGGAGGGCATTCTCTGAGCAAGGCCCGCTCCGCCTGATCAGGAGCGCCTCTTTCTTTGCAGGTTTGCAATGTGCTGTGTGGGTAGACTAGTTGGTGTGACCAAGCTATTAGAATTTTGTAGTTTAGCTTTGGAAATAAGACACCAGTTGGAAGTTGATTGTGAGTATATGAGAAAACAATACCTTTTGAGTAATAAGAACTATCCCCTAATTATGGAATTTTTTTTTACTATTCCTGGAAATCACATTTTCATTGGAATTGAGTATTTTGGAAATCATATTTTCACGAAATTACATTGTGCTGATTGTTTTCCAGTATTTCTTTGAGCTTTGGAAGAGCCAAACCCCATTTCATTTAGTTGTTTGCTGTTTAATAATAGAAAGTATAAATTCTTATGTGCCACTCAAGTTTCCACTGAAGAGGTCTTATTTCCATGACTAAGTAGCTTTTATTTCATAGTTCACCAGTTGCAAAAAAAAAATAAATAAAATCCACTCTTCATTTTCTTGAATTTCTATCCACACTTTGATATAAGAAATTTTATTTTTATAACAAAGACTCAGTTGAACAAGTACCATTAAAATTCTAAGAATACACATCTCTGTCTTTACATCACAGAATGAGTGATAATTGAAAAAAAGCATAGAATCTATGCTTGTGCTCTTCTTAGCCAACTGTTGCTGTTCTTCTCAGTTTCCTAAATACATTTTTGTATGCTGTATAAAATTACATTTGCCAGGCTGAAGTCTTAATTTATCTACTGTTTTTGTTCACAAAAAAGTATGAATTTGGCCATTGCTTCTTTCTATATTAAATAACAGTACTCAGTATGTTCTACATATGATCTTCAAATAAATCTCTGGGCTTGTTCAGCTTAACATCCATTCTTGGTGTTGGGGGTGTGCCATGCTGTCGGAAAATAAAAGATAAATGAATGCAATGAGATGAGCATGATTTAGTTTGGATAATTAAAAGGAGTGCCACCAGTCTGAACAAAAGTTGATTTTGTACTTGACAGGCTTGCCTTTCTTTACAGTTCATAGCAACCCAATGGACATGCCTGGAAGAGAACAGAATGAAGACAGAGACAGTGGCATAGCACGCTCTGGTAATGCATCACATTAGTTTAATAAAGGGGCATGGATGCTTGGTATTGTTTCCTTGCTGTGTGATACAGTTTTTCAAGCCCAGTTCTTTAGCGTTTGGTATCATGTGATAAAAGAACAGAGGTAGAAATTATTTAGCAATATTGTACTCAATAATATATATTTGATAAGTAGCTTTACATATTTTTCATGGTAGTGCTCAGTGAAGAGGTAATCCTAACTGAACTAGGCTTAGCCAATGCAGAGTGAAAAATGCCTTCTTGTTGCCACTGTGTTGAATTGTTTTGCTTTACTTTGCTTATTTATTAGAAGAAAAAGTGGAAGGAGCCACTGGAAAATGATACTGAAAGGAAAAAATAGAAGAATATTAATAAAAGACAGTTTCTTAAGTTTATAGAAACTGTGACAAGAGAACAATGGTTTGCCACTTGATATAGTTCTGATTTCCCAAATAGCAACAAGGGGTATTTTACACAAAGATTTCAGTTTTTTTCTGCATTGTGAATTCTTTCATAGAGATTTTTTTTGATCAATTCAGGATTTTACTGGAGCTATGCTCAGAAAGTGGTCCTGTCCACTTTACCCACAGTGAACCTTGTAGACTGATTTTAATCTCTCAAACTTTTGTGCTTTGTGTATGCATTGTGCCGGTGAAGTTCAATCACCGAATTCGAATTTTCCTGATGCAGACTGTCTTTGAAGACAGAAAGCATTTGTCAAGATATTTCCCCCTTCTAATCAAATAATCTTATTCAGGGGCCTTAAGGTATAGTAGAAGACATATCTCTTAAATTGTCCTTTCCTTTTCTGTACTTAGATTTTTTTTTCCCATTAGGGTGAAATTTTTAATTTTTATTGGTTATGTTTAACATTATTGTGCATTTTAATCTGTTTATATCTATGTGCCTTTTATTTATCCAGGATTGATTTTCTCAAGTTTAATTTTTCTCTGCAGCATTGAATTTTACTGTAACAATTTGGGACAATTAGTTTTATAGCCACAGTTTTCTTTAAAAAGTAGGGTTGTAACATTTGAATATCCCATTTGTTGAAGAGTATTTTGTTAAACAAGTAATGTAAACTGATTAATTAATAACCTGTGCCATGGAGTTTTAAAATATATATATGTGAAATTTAAGGTGACAGTCAAATCCTTATTTTTGATTATGATGATGATATATTAATTCATTGAACACTTTTAAGATTTCTTGCTTAAAGCCCTGAAACTTAAAGACTGTCTTACGATTTTTTTCTCTCAGTAATACATTTTTTTAAAAACAAATAAGATTTTACGGGTTCATGAAGAATTGAAAGTTCAGTAAAGTCCATATTTTATGTTTACCTTTTATTGTTCTACTGATCAGTTAACATGAAATTTTTTTATATTCATGAACTATTAAATTTTAAATCATGAATTAAAATGATTTTTTGTTTTTATTGTTCTAACAGCATCTCTTAGCAGTTTGCTTATTACTCCATTTCCCTCTCCAAACTCTTCACTTACCAGAAGTTGTGCTAGCAGTTACCAACGACGCTGGCGACGTAGTCAGACAACCAGTTTGGAAAATGGGGTCTTTCCTAGGTGGTGAGTGAATTAACAAACTAGGAAAAAATGTTTATATTCCATGGCTTTTTATCAGTCTCACTTAAGTTTTCCTATCTTTGGCTTTATCTTTTCAAATATATAGTTGTCAATGTATATACAGTTTTAGTTTTACTGACTCACTTTGCAGAGGTCTTCCCATATTTTCTTGTATTTGTTATTTATAATTTTTATTTGAAACATCATGTTCCATTAATATACCGTAATTTATTCAACTATCCTCCAATGTACATCTTGTTTAAAAATAATTTATTATGTATTTAACAGTAAAACCAAATAAGCATTTATTAATAACTGTTTATACTTAAAAATTAATTTCTATATGCAGTATTCCCATAGTGGATTGATGGTGCCTGCTGTATAGTCTCATTCTTCATTCATCTCTGTTATATATTTGTTCTTCCTTGATCATCGTTGTAGTCAATATATATTCTATTCCTCTAGTTCTTTTTTCTATGCTTTATATAAATTTTTGCAGATTTCTTATTATTCTTCATATATCATTGTAATGACTTTGTTCTAGTATTCTCTTAAAGTGATATATCATAATCTATTCAGCCATTTAGCAATTGTTGGACATTTAAGTTGTTTCTAGTACTTTTAGAGTATATTTCCCAAAATGGGCTCATTAGGTCATAGGATAAGACTATTTATTTATTTATTTATTTATTCATTCATTCATTCATTCAATTAGGCAGTTGGGGTTAAGTGATTTGCTCAGGGTCACACAGCTAGTAAGTTACAAGTGTTTGGTCTAAGGCCGGATTTGAACTCAGGTCCTCCTGACTTCAGGGCCGGTACTCTATAGATTATTTTTGTGACTTGTCATTACTGCATAGCTCTCCAAAGAGATTCTATTAATTTTCTTTTTTTATTACTGAAACTTAAATACATAATAAGAAAAGAAAAAGAAACATTATAAGCTTAAATATTGAAACTTAAATACATAATAAAAAAGGGGGAAAAAAGCATGTCATGTCCACATCAGAACATAAGATAGGATTTTAAATATATAGCAACAAATTTCCATTTCAAGAAAGCCTATGTAATAAGTACTACACATTGTGTTAAGAGCAGTCTCTTTTCTTTGCTTCCTTGTTAGTTTTCTTTTGTTCTCTCGTGTACTTTTTACTTTGTTCTTTTTACCCCCAACCCTCCCCCGCCAAGGCTACAATTAAACGTGGATATATTTACATATAGATGTAGATATATAGATATACATATACTTGTATATACATACATATGTACATACATACATACATACACACACATATACTTTCCCTAACAAATTCTACTTCTGATCTTTGTTTTTATGTTTATGCATATCTCTTATTTCCTATCCTACATAACTCCTCTACTTTATTTCTACACTCTATCTTGCCCTCCCATTACTTAACCTAGCCCCCCTTCCAAGAATCCCTCCCTCACCTTCCATTCCCTTTAATCTAAACACCTTTCTATACTGTCCTTGATTCTATTAATTTTAAATGCCATCAGTAATATATATGTACCCATTTCTCCATAATCCTATTAGCGTCATACTTTTAACTATTTTTTTTTTTTACCAATTTTTGGCAAGTATAAAGTAGAACCTTGATGTTGTTTTAATTTGTATTTATCTGATAATTAGTAAGGTTGAAATTTTTTTCAAGTAATTATTTAAATATGTGTATACTCATTTATGAATTGCCTTTTCATATCTTTTGATTTGTTCAGTGGTGAACTGCATATTTCTCTTGAATATTTGTATCAGTTCCTTATACAATTTAGGTGTCAGGATTTTATCTGTTATATTTGTGGCCAGTAATTTCCCATATGGTTTTTTTCCTAATTATATTCTTGTTGTAGTGTAGGATTTTCTTTTTTTATATATTGACATCCTTTGATATATAATCAAATTTTTATGTTCTGTCATTTCTTGTTTAATAATCAATTATCTGTTCTCAGTTTTTAAAAAATAGATTGTTCCCTCTGCCTCCATAGCATGATGCTCATCTGACCTTTTCTGTCTCCTCAAAGAGCTACCACTTTAATTCATGCCCCTCATATCTTCTCACTTAGACCAGGGTTGTCAAACTCACTGCTTATGGGCCACAGAACTCCCGAGTATTGCCTGAACTAGATTAAAATGTAATTGGAAAATGTTTAACAAAATCTATAATAAAGTATAGATAATGTTGATTTGTAGTTTTCTATGTCAATATACAGCCAGCAGGGATCCATTTCTATTTAAGTGTAATGCCACTGACCTAAACTATTGCAATGGCCTACTCATTAGGCTCCCTAACTCTCTCTTCCCATTCCAGTCCATAATGCTATCATAGTAATTTTACATAAGTGCAGATCTTACCATGTCATTCTCCTATTCAATAAATTCTAATTGCTCTGTTATCTCTAAGATAAAATATAAACTCCTCTGTTTAGCTTTCAAAGCTCTTTACAACCTGGCCCCAACCTATCTTTCCATTCTAATTGGATAGTACTCCACCTCTCAAACTCTTTTATCCATAAACTGCCTTCTCTCTGTTCCTCAGACATGACTTTCATCTCTGTGCTTATACACTGGCCATCCCCCTTGTCTGGAATGCACTCATTTCCTCCTGTGTGCTTCATAGAATCCCTCTCTTCCTTCAAGATGCAGATTGAACACCAGCTTCCATGTGAAGACTTTCCTGATGTTCCTCAACTGCTAGTACCCTCCCTACTAACTTATATTATATTTAACTGTTTTATAGGTATCTTTATTTATTCTTTTTGTTTATTCTTTATGTGTTTATATATACCTTTATTATCTTCCCAGTTAGAACATAAGCTCCTTTTGATTAGGAACTAGTTCATTTATTATATTCATATCCGTAGCAAATAGTATGGCCCGTAGTAGGCACTTAATACTTACTGAATGGTTGCTTTTATAATTCATTTTCTATGACTGGAATTTTTATGATATATGTTATGAGTTAAAGTTTTAAATTTATCTTTTTTCATGTTGCTATCCAGTTTTCCCATTTCCTGACACTTAAGTGATAATTCTTTACCCTAGTTTTTTATTTTCTCTAGGTTTACTTTGTATGTTTATTTGGTTCTGTTTCTGAGATTTCTCAGCACAGTTCCTGATATATAGTAGGTGCTTAATAAAGCTTTATTGATTGGTTACTGTTCTGTTCCACTGATCTTTATTTAAATTTTGGATCAATATTAAAAAAAATTAATAAGAATTGCTTTGTAATAGATTTTAAAGTCTAGAAGGGCAAATTCTACCATCCTTTGTTTTTCTCCCTCCAAACTGACCTTTGGCATATTTGCCTTTTGTTTTTCTGTTTTAACTTTTGTTATGATTAAACCCACCTCTACTTAGGAAACTGTTGGTATTTTCATTGGCATTATAATGAAATCTGTTATGGAATATTGTCATTTTTACTGAATTAATTTGATTTCTCTATGAGCACTGAATTTCTCTCAAGGTAGTTAGCTCCTCCTCTATTCTGTCACTACAGTTTTATAGTTCTCCTTATAAAAAGTCATATTTGTGGCTAGATAAGGCATAAGCTATTAGATGGAGAGATCTCCATAATATATGACAACTGATCTATAATTGGCAGGGAACAACATGAAAAAAAAGATAAGTCTAGGCTTTACCAAGAATTTTGTTTTGTCAGATGCAAATGAACCATTAATTTAAAAGTTGTAAACCAGGATATTTAGTTTTTGAATGAGTTCCAAGTTAACTGAAAATTAGTTCTGCTCCAAATTTAACTCTACAGTAAAATTTTACATAAAATTTATACATTATAATAGCTAATATGAATTTAAAGGGAGAAAATAGACAAGGAGTTCATCCACAAACCTTTTTAATTGTTTTGACTTTTTTAAAAGAAGACCTTGGGGCAGCTCGGTGGTACAGTGAATAGAGCTCTGGCCTGAGAGTCAGGAGGACTTGAGTTCAAATCTAGCCTCAGACACATAATACTTACTAGCTGTGTGACCTTGGGCAAGTCACTTGACCCTGATCGTCTCACCAAAAAAAAAACAAAACCTTAAGATAAAGTTCATTATTTAGTTGCCAAGAAAATTCAATTGAGGTTTAAAGTAATTACATAAACTTTCTTATAGGTCTATAGAAGAAAGCTTTAATCTGTCAGATGAAAGCTGTGGCGCAAATCCTGGAATTGTTAGGAAAAAGAAGATTGCAATTGGTGTAATTTTTTCACTTTCCAAAGATGAAGATGAAAATAGCAAATTTAATGAATTCTTTTTTTCACACTTTCCTCTCTTTGAAAGCCACATGAACAAATTGAAGAGTGCAATAGAACAAGTAAGTAGTTTTCACATTTAGTTTTACATTTGTTTATACTTTTTTAATTTCTTACATGCTGGGCTAGGAAGATGTTCATTTATTCATTCAACTGGAGATTTACTGAATGCCTGCCACATTATTACAGGTACAATATAGGAGGCTATGGATATTTCTAAGACTCAGTTCTGGCTTTTTTTTTTTTTTTTTTTTTTTTTTTAATTTTTAAAGGGGCAGCTATGTGGCACAGTGGATAGAGCACTGGCCCTGGAGTCAGGAGGACCTGAGTTCAAATCCAGCCTCAGGCACATAATACTCACTAGCTGTGTGACTCTGGGCAAGTCACTTTACCCCAATTACCTCACTCTCCTCCCCACATAAAAGGCAGAAAAAAAATTTTAGTTCTTTTTATTGAGTTCCAAATTCTCTCCTCCCTGTACCTCCCCCTTCCATTCAGAAGAAAAGCAACTGTATCATTATACATGTCATTCAAAACATATTTCCATATTTGCCATGTTGAAACAAAAAAAAGGGGGGGGCAAGGAAAAGTAAAGTGAAAATAATGTGCTTCAGTCTGCACTCCAAGTTCATCAATTCTCTCTCAGAGGTAGATAGTATTTTTCACCATGAGTCATTTAGAATTGTGGTTCATCGTACTCATCAGAATAGCGAAGTCTTTCACAGTTGACCATCATTGCATTAATGCTATTTACTATGTGCTATATTCTCCTGGTTCTGCTCCCTTCCCTTTGCATCAGTTCATATAAGTCATCCCAGGTTTTTCTGAAACCCTCCTGCTCATCATTTCTTAGAACAGAGTAGTACTCCATCACAATCATATAATATAACTTGTTCAGCCATTCCCCAGTTGATGGGCATCTCCTAAATTTCCAATTCTTTGCCACCACAAAAAGATCTGCTGTAAGTCCTAGCTTCTAAGGAGCTGATAATATAGTAGGTGGGTTGTGACATAGGCATCAATGTAAAATCAGAGAGTCAGGGAGGTGTAGAATGTTAATGGTAGTTCAGAAGAGAAACAGAACATTTCCAGTGGAGGTAGAGAAATGAGAAAACGATTCAGAAACGGTTTTTTGGAAGAAATAGAATTTGTGTTGGACCTTAAAGAATGGGTAGACTTTTGCCAGGTAGAAGAAACAGTATATGAACTAAATCACAAAAGTTTTGGAAAATATATATTGCATATTCAGAAAGACAAGTTGGCAAGCATTTATTAAGTACCTACTTTGTGCCAGGTACCATGTCAAGTGCTTGGGTATACAAAGAAAGCCAAAAATCAGTTCTAGCTCTCGAGGAACTTAACAGTCTAATAGAGTAAAGAACATGAAAACAACTGTGAAGAAACAGCAGGTGTGTGTAGTAACTTGGAGATGATCTTAGAGAAAAGGCACTGAGATTAAGGAAGACTAGGAAAAGCCTCATGCAAAAAGTGGAACTTTAGCAGGGACCTGAAGAAAGCCAGGGAAGCTAGGAGACAGAAATAAGGAGGGGAGAATTCCAGGCATGGGGGAGATACAGTGAAAATGTACTGAGTCAGGAAATGGAGTGTCTTGTGTGAAGAACAACCAAGAGACTGGTGACCTGTATCATAAAGTACATGAAGGGGAATGAACTGTAAGAAGAGTTTGATTCTGGAGGTAATTGAGAGCTATTGCAGTTTATTAAATGGAGAAATAGCATGGTCAGACATGTGCCATAGGAAGATCACCAATAGCTGAGTGTAAGATGAACTAGAGTGGGGGCAGCCATAATGCAGGGAGGCCTTTCGGAAAGCAATTGCAATAGTCAAGGGGTAAAGAGATCGGTGTCTGCACTAGGATGGTGGCAATGTCAAAGGAGAAAAGGGGACATATACAGAAGATGTTGCAAATCAACAGGACTTGGACAACTGATTGGATATGAGGGGTGACAAAGAGTATGGAGTTGAGATTGACACCTGGGTTGCAGGCCTTGGTGACTGAGAAAATGATAGTATACTTGACAGTAATAGAGAAATTAGGAAGAGGGGAGAAGTTTAGGCAGGGGGAGGAGCAAAGATAATGAGTTCAGTTTTGCATATTTTGAGTTTAAGATGTTTATAGGACATCTAGTTCCAAAAGTCCAATAGGTAGGCTAGAGATGTGAGTCTGTGTGTCCAGATAAATAGATCTGAGAATCATTTGCATAGAGATGGCAGTTAGATCCACAGGAGCTGAAGCAATTACCAAATGAAATAGTTTAGGAGAAGAAAAGAGAGCTTAGGACGGAAGAATCTTGAGGGACAACAAGGGTTAGTGGGTATAATTTAGATGAAGATCCAACATAGGAGGCTGATAAGGAGTGCTCAGACAGAGAGAAAAAAAAACAAGAGAAAGTAGTGTCATGAAAACCTAAAGAGAAGAAAGTAGCAAAAAGAGGATGATTGACAGTGTCAGACACTGCAGAGAGATCAAGAAGTGCAAGAATGATTTGGCAATTAAGAGATCATTTGGTAACTTTGGAAAGTGTAATTATAATGACCAAGCTTTGCCTCCTAAAGAGATGTGAGAAATTGCACTTCCTTCCTTTCTTTGAAGATGTGGGGGCTATGGGTATGGAACATTTTGTATACTGTTAAACTCAAGTGATAAGTATATTGGTTTTACTAAAATACTCTTCCTTTTTTATAGGATTTGCCTCTTTGGGCAAGGGATGGGGGAAAATATATTTGAAAATGAATCTTATATAAACCAAAAAAAAAGTCAGTAAAAATAAAATTCCATTTCAGTATCTAAGAAAAAGAAGAAAGTATTTCTCAAGGTTAAGATCACAGTGAGGACTCCAGTTTTTGACTATGCACTGGGTACATGAATGGGAATAGTAAGAGGTATTAGAAAGGCTGGAGCTGTATCAAATGTTGTTGACAGAAACCTTACCTCTAAAATGTCAGGAGCCAGTGTGAGCTTTCTTTTTAGTTACAGTCAAATCACTTTGGTTAACAAGGTAATTCTGTAAAGCCCAGAAAGTTTTACAACGAATTCCTTTATGTTAACATTGTATACCTTGACAGTTTCAGTGAAAAGATTCAAAATATGAAAACTTTGAAATCTTTTATAACATCCAGTGACAAGTACAAAGTATAAAGCCACCATAAATACATGTGCCTCCTCTGTCTTTCCCTAGATAGGAAAGTTGGCAGTCTGTTCAAGGTTTTCTAAAAATAGGTGTTTGGCTTCTTAGTTCTATAGACAGGTGAGAAAGGAAATATGTGACTGTTTTCCCTTTTCTTTCCCTGTTTTGACCATGGTTACTATAAAAATTATATATTTCATGATTATTTTCAAGGCTATGAAAATGAGTCGAAGGTCAGCTGATGCCAGTCAGCGGAGTTTGGCATATAATCGTATTGTAGATGCCTTAAATGAATTCAGGTAAGTATTGTTTTTCTGGCCTTTTATGATATGGTGGTATGTCTGTGTGTACATAGACTGTTTTCTGTCCCTGTTATTCTTATATACTTATCTTGATATAAGTATTTTTGAAACTAGTGAACCCAGGATTCAAAATTAAAATGAAGTCTAGTGGGTTGGTGGAATACCAGTTGTGCATAGAGTACAGTCATAACAATGCTTAACACAGTGACTGGCACATAGGAGATGCTTAATAAATGTTTATTGAGTGAATAAACAAATGAATGAATGTATTTGGGAGCCACCAATCCTATGAGTTTGAATCCTCGGCCATCTGAGGAGGAAATATATCAAGAAGTATTCCCCCATCTGCGTGTTAATGGCCAAATAATTAGCTCTCCAGCAGAGAAGAGGTCTCTCTTTTCTTATTCATCCTAGAATACATTTATATTTCCAAATACCAGCTACCAGGAATATAGTAATTTTTTTGCTTTGTGTCACAGAAGGCACTTAGATACATTTCTTTCTAGGCACAGAAATAATCTCCCATGTATTCAAACTTTTGCACAGACTTAGGCTTACATTCTTGCTCTGTGATAGTCAAAATTAAGAGTTTCACTTACTTTTTTAAAAAAGTTAATATAGTTAACTGAAGAGAAAATGGTAGTCACAGTTTTGCTGATTACTGTATCCATAGCTAGTAATACCCACCCCAGCCTGACCATCTGCTTCAGCTTTCTATTAGAATGCTGTGGATAAAGCAATAGAACTACATTTTTTAGGAAGATGTTCTGAAAAAATATTTCCAAAAAAAATTTTGCACACTTTTTTGTAAGAATGAATATCCCATGTTGGGAGTATTCATTCAGAATTTTTTAGGAAACACTGCACTAGACTAAACTTGTGCTTCAAAAGAATAGGCCTCATTTTTAGCAATAATCATTAGCAAAGACTTTAAACTCTCTAGTCAGTAATCTGTAAGTTTGCATTAAAGTAACAATTATAAAATATCTTTTAGTTGGTGACAGAAATAGCACGATTAAGTATATCTGTGTATTTGGTTATGATTTTAACTTGATTTATGTCTATTAACCAAGCTACTTGTCTGAAGTCTTGTTTTGGTTTGGTTTTACTTAGGTTTAGCTTTTAATCTTCAGGTTCCTTTGTGGGTTTAAGTTATTCTCATAACTTTTCTTTGCATCCCAGAAACATTATGAAATGTGGCAATGCTAAAAAAATCTTTGGGAATGCTATATACATATATACATACACATATACATATGTACATACATATACACACACACACACACACATATATATGAGCATTAGTTTTCCAACATATTTTAACATTGTATGGCATTAGTTTTCCAACATATTTTAACATTGTGTGTCTGGACTATATGTGTAACACACATTTTTACCACCTTACTGTAATGAATTCCCTTAGGCATTTTTTGGGGGCAGTTTATTTCCCTTGAAAATGTGTTGAATGTGCATAAGAGCAAAAATACAAGAATTCATGAATTCTTCTGCCTTCAGCAGTTTTTAATGTGGAACATTTATGATCTGTCGTCCTTTTCATTATCGTTTGATACTTCAGATTGTTTCTGACCAAATGCAGAATGCCAAGTGTTTTATTCAGATGTATTGAATTGTGGGTCTTTTGTGATGGCTAAGTAAAGTATAGGAATAGGGATTAGACCTGTGATGTAATTAGTTTAGGGAATTCATGAGTGAAGAAATTCCCTCTACCAATGTAGGTCAGTCAATATGTGGCCCACAGGTAGCCTTAGGTACAATTTAGTGGCCTTGTTTCTATTTGAGTGTGACACTACTGTATTATACTATGCTCCCTCTCAGTGTGGAATATAAAGTAGAGAAAATAGCTCTAATCTTTGAGTATATCATAGGACTATAGATCTTAAACTTGAAGAGGCTTCAGAGGCCATCTTATCAGTATCTTAATTTACAGATGAGAAAACTGAGACCTAGGAAGGTTTTGTTTTGCCTACGTTAACATAGCATCTGAGAGAGGATTGAAAGCCAGCGTTTCTGATTCAGAGCCAATACTTTTTCCACTGCATTATGTGGATCATCCATCATTCCCTTATGCTGAGAAAATAATTATTAACCGATGTATCAAGATATGTTCCTATCTGTGCATTTGAACAGTTACCTCCTACCAAATTTAAGCTAAGAAAAAATCAATTCCTCTTTCTACTAGTTATTTGATTTTCTGTTTTCTTTTTCCTTATTTTTAAAAAATTAATCTCTAATGACAGTTAACATGGCATACTTGTCTTTTCACTTCTCCCAGGGGGAAAAGAGCTCTTCATCTCAGCAAGCACTATTTGTATTCACTTGAAGTAAGAGATAATGTATAATCCTTTGAGTCTGCATTTTGTAATTTTTGAGAAATCTTGTCTTTATGAACTAATTACTACATCAATAATTTGTTGATAAATACAAGATTTCTCAAAAATTACAAAATACTTCATTTTACCTTAGTCTTTTCCTTGTCATTATTACAACCTCTGTTACTTCCATCTCTTTCTGTTCTTCACTGTTCTGTTTGTGCTCTGCTAATCTTACACCCTGGGTTGCTACTACATCCACTTTACTTGTTTCAGCTCTCATGCCACTGAATGAGAATCATGAAATCAAGGTAAATGAGTTCACTATAAATTCATACCTAGTTTTAACTAGGTCCTCACTGATGTGCAGCCATCTTTTGTTCTTCCCTGATTCATTTTTTTAAACAGTTCTGTAGTAGCCTTTTCAAACCTCTACTCTTTTCTCAAGTCCCCTATGCCACAGGACACTTCCCTAAGCAGCAAAACTCATTCCATTTCACTAAAAAAATCAAAGCTTTCCATTGTGAACTCTCTTATCTTCCCAACTACACACATCAAAATCCCTCTACCTCTTCACCCTTGTTTTCCTTCTTAACATTCAATGCAGAATATGTGACCCATTTCCTTGTCAAAACTAATCCTGCTATTCATGCCCTTGCCCTTGATCTCGTTCCCCAGTGGTTCACTACCCCAAAGAGGAAGATCTCTTCTCCAAGAGCTTTTGCTATTGATCGTTCTCTCTTTCATTTTAAAACTCTCCTTGTCTCTTTACTGGCTCTTGTTCTGCTGCCTAAAAGCATGCCCCAGTTCTTTCCTCCCTTAAAAACCTTCATTTTCCCCTGCTATCTCCTGAAACTATTTTATCTCTTACCCTATCCACTGGCAAGCTTGGTCATTTATACTCATTGCTTCTGCTTTCTCTCCATCCACATACTTCTCAACCTTTGCAATTTGGTTTCCAACCCTCACTATTCAACTGAAATTGCTTTCTCAAAAGAGTATCAGAAATTTCTTAACTACTAATGATATATGAAAAATGTCTTGTAAACCTTCAAGCAATATGTAAATGTTACTATTCTACGTCCTATTTGACTTGTCTACAGCTTTTGACACTGTTGACCACCTACTCCTCCTTGGATTCTCTCTTGTTCCTTTTGTTTCTGTGACATTGCTCTCTCCTGGTTCAATTCTTACCTCTGTAAAACCTTCCATCTCAGTTGATGGATTGTTATCCATTTTCCCCTAGAATACTGTTTTAGATTCCTATTTTCTCCTGTGGCTAGAAGTTTCATCCCTTTCTACCAGTTTAATTATCAGTCTCTGCGCAGATGATTTGTAAATCTTTATTGCCTAGGGCAGCTAGGTGGCACAGTGAATAGAGCATGATCCCTGGAGTCAGGAGGACCTGAGTTCAAATCCAGCCTCAGACACTTAACACTCACTAAGTGACTCTGGGTAAGTCACTTAACCCCAATTGTCTCAACAACAACAACAAAAAATCTGTATTACTTAGCCCCAGTCTCTTTCCTGAAGTCTCGTCCCAAATATCCACCTAGAAGTGCCATTTTCCTGGAGTAATGCAACATGTACATAGTTAACTAAACTTAATTACAGTGTTGTTTGAGGAAAGTGGCACTAACTGGGAGGATTGGGAAAGGTATCTGAAACCCAACATGGGCGAGTCAGAACTCATTACCTTTTACCCCTATTAGCCTGCTGCTCCCCTAAACTTCTTTATCACCATTAAGTTACCCAGATTCATAACCTTGAAATAATCCCATAGTTTTCCACCTGTGTCTCACCATACCTCCAAAAACTCTCTTGAATACATAGCATTCTCTCCAGGCATCACTATTTGCCTGGACTATTGCAATAAGTCTCCCTGTTTCCATTCTCTTCTCCTTCCAACCCATCCTCCATACACCTGCCATATATTCTATCTCCTCTACAGGTTATCATTAAATTTCATTGGCCGGCCATCTGTTGCTTAAATGATAAAATTCAAACTTCTCATTCTGGCATTTTAAGGGTCCTCCACAGTATAGCTTCAACTTGGCTTTCCAACATAATTTCACATTAACCCCTTTCATGCATTCTTCATTCAATCCAGACTTTTGCTTGCATTCCAAAAATTCAACAGACCTCCCCACCTCTGTGTCTTCATATATGTTATCATCAATTCCTGAAATGAAATCCTTCCTCATCTCCCTCTCAGAATCCTTTCCTTAGGATGATAGGATCATAGTTAGAGCTGGAAGGTACCTCAGAAGCCATAAAGTCTGACCTCACTTTAAAGATAAGGAAACTCAGCTCAGGTACCACATCTTCTCTGAAAATTTTCCCATTACGTCTATCGTGCTCTCTCCTTCCTTATACTTTATAACTGGTTATTTTTGTGTACATGTTATATCTCCCCAGGATGGTATAAGCCTTTTGAGATCAAGAACTACTTTTGTCTTTGTTTCCCCAGACCTACTGTATACCCTTGGCAGATAGGAGATTTTTAATAAGTGCTCATTAAATTGAATTTAATTCATCTAAAAATGTGTCTGTTGAAGTCCAAAATGCTAAGTTTTTTTTAAGCCTACAAAGGTGGTGTAATGCAGGGGTGAGGAACCTGTGGCCTCGAAGTCACATGTGGCCCTCAAGTGTGAACCTTTGACTGAA